CAATGTCAACTAATTCATTAGAATTTAGACATTCATCAATTTTGACAATTCCATATGCATATTGATTATCGAGAACTTTATTAAAATTTGAAATATTGTTTTCGTAATCATAAGAAGTTTCATCTACTTTTTCTCTTTAGAAAACTAAGAATGGTAGAAGTTTCCTATGTTGTTCTCTACTAATTTCACACGAATGATGTAATTCAGTTAGTTTTCCATAGAGTCTCTTAGTAGTATTACAATAGATGTTCATGTGTTTCAATAGAATCTTATTATCAGTGCTAAGATTATCCCTATCTATCATAATATTTGTTATCTGCAGCTCTAAACAATCTATCTTAGACTTCTTTGATTCCAGGATTCTTTAAGTTTCTATCAACTGAGTACTGGCTTTCTTAGCTTCATTGCTAGCAGGAATAACAAGATTATTCACATAAGTAACAGAAGCATCAAACTCAGTTAATACAGAATTATATGCAGATGAAGGAATGTTAAAAGATTGAAGTGGAGAATGTACATTTGTAGTCATTGGTGCATTATCTCCTGACTTTCGAAATGAAGCATCTGCCTGTTACATTCTCTTCTTCAACATCCTCATACCTTGCATACATGGCCCCATGAGTTGGATTTCTCATCTCTTCATCATCAAACCATGATGACCATATCTAATACGTTACCTCATCTTCATCTTCTCCTCTAGCCACAAGTGAAAGATTTTTCGAATTTTTCTTGACTTCCTCCAACTTCTCAGTGTAATAAGCGTCATCCTTCACTTTGTTATTTTTCTCTTCTTTCTTTCTCAGCATACAATCATTTTCCATGTGATTTGCTCCATGACAGTAATGACAATCTATACCCGAGTCACCCTTTAGCTTCTTCTCTTGTTTTGAATCCTCAACTTTTACCTCTTTCTTCTCAAACCTCTTCTCCTCACTAACTTTCCCAGAATAACTTCCCTTCGTTTCTCTAGACTTCATTTTCGAATTAAATGGCTTCTTGTAAAACTTCTTCACCTTATTGTTGGAGTAAAATGCAACAACTTCAGAACTCTCATTCTCAGCAACTTCCATCTCATATTCTCTACTACTGACCTTCGAAACTAGAGCTAATGGAGCACCTAAAATGACACTTAACTCTTCTGCCATTTCTTTCACTTCAGTTTCATGAGTTTTTACTTGATTGTAAACATTATTCAGAGTAGAAATATCGAAGCCATGTTGTGTCTTAATCATCAAACTTACATTCATCCATTCTTTTCGAAGACCCATTACAAATGTAATATTGTGTTCCATGTTAGTCCTTTTGATTCCATACCTTGTGCACTTGTAGATAAGCTCGGTCAGACGATCGTAATACATTTCAATTGTTTCTCCATCTTTCTGCTTGAATTCTATTAATTCAATCAGACATTGTTTTACAGAACTGATTTTGGTTTTCTCACTCCCCTGGTACTTTTCTTTCAATGTATTCCAGATCTCTTTTGAAGTTGTGCAAGTGCGAACATGATTATACACCATAGGAGGAAGAGCACCACGAAGCTCTCTCATGCATTTCTTCTCATACTTCTTCAACCTTTTAGTTTGTTCAGTAACACTTGGAGTTGGTGACGAAGTACCTATGCTTTCAACAGAAGAAGGTGGAATTACATCATCAGTAATGCATTTCCATAGCTCTTCATCTATGTCATTCAAGTAATCCTCCATTCGATCAGCCTACTGATCGTAATACCCTGGAATCAGCATTGGAATCTTTGTAGATGATTCAAGGAGATGAGAATACGATGTCATTGTGTTCATGTTGAAATTCGTCATGGATATATGGATGAATTCTCAGAAAAAATTCAGAATTTTGAGAATTAAAATATGAATCAATCAGAATTTTCAAATGGAATACTCGATCAAACAACTCAGTTGCATAATCGAATCACAATTGTAAATCTAAGATGATTTTCAATAGCAAAAAGGATGCGGAAGTTTTGAATCCAAAAGTGATTCAAAATCCTTTTGTCACAGAGTGAAAATCATATCATAGAAAAAATGATTTCTTCTCTGATACCAATTATATATCAGTAGGTGTGTCAATTTATGACACGACACGATAATATACACAAAACGAAACAAAATTGGGATGAAATCAATATTTGTATTCGTGTTCGTGTCGTTTTCGTTTCAAGATTAAAAAACACGATGTCGTGTTCGTGTTCATCAATCGACACGAAATTGACACGGTTAAGCATATGGTTGTTGTGTTTTTCGTTTTTGTCGTGTTATATATCTTTAAGTATGAACGAAATACACTAATAGTTATGTAATATTATATTTTTCGTGTCGTTTTGTGTTGTCGTAGTTTAATTGGTTCGTTTTCGTGTTAATGAAAAAAAACACGACATCGTATCGTGTCGTGTTCATGTTATACAAAACATTGTCGTATCAGAAAAAAACACGACACGACTGCCCGATTTGACAGCCCTATATATCACAGTACAAAAGAGAAAGATGATCGTTAATTCGACTTCCGGGAGGGACTCCCAGGACGAAGCTCCGACAATCAAGTTAGAATCGATTATGAGATTAGAATGGGAAAGTCTAAGGAAAAAGAATTCCCTCGTGAGACGCGACGTGGCGGATCCCCATTTAAGGATCCATCATCATATCTTTTTTCCTCATAACCTCATTGGCTAGAGGAGAATCTTTGATATTGTGATGATCGTGGTTGCCGTTAGATGGGAAAGTGGGACTCTCTAATTGGTACCATGTTTGTCGGGTATTTATTTTGGGAGAAGAGGGCAAGGCGTAGTTCGGTCCCTTAACCATTACACCAGTGACTTTGCGTTGGCGAAGGCCCGACCTTGGCCTCAGACTGGATTTAACCAGGTTCTAACCAGGTCAAGCTTGGCATTAGTGTGAATTCTCCTTTCTTGACGTTCTCCCTGAAGGATACGTTAACAGTATGATACTCCACAGGAGACATACGTTGGCCAAGCCCATCTATAGGGATAGCTAGAAGAAAATCTTGAGAATGTGGTGCACGTAAACACTGGAAAACTGTTTTCTATCGAGCTGTCTTAATGAAATGCAGTCTTCAAAAGAAATGGTTTTACTATACAAAAAGGCTTAGCGGAACAACTTGTTGCCAGTTTGCCTTCTCATTCGTTTTACGTTGATAAATAAGTTTTATTAATGTCATTATAATCTTTGAACATTACACAACATGTCTTCCTTGTTTGTCTTCTCCCCATTTATAATACACTTGGTCTTTTGTATGATACTCTCATTGCTTCATTCCTTTGTGAAACCTTTTTGTAACTTTCCTCCAAAAATGATCATGTTTTTGGTTTTTTCAAACCTTCGCATCTTCGGAATATCGATCCATGCATGTGCCAATGCTAGCACTTCTCTGGTTCACATGCTTTAGCCCTCATCTTATCTTTTCTTTTATTTGGTGCTTTGGTGGGTTGAATTTCTTGAACGAATTTAGGTTCAAAATTGCTCTTGACTTTCCTATTTACAGTTCGGGTTGAGATAAAACATCAAAGGGATTAAATTTGGTGTTAAATAAGATTTTTGGTTGTGTATGGTTATGTAGTTTCAAACAGCGCGCTTGTTGCGACAAGCTAACGAAATTGTTTAATTATTGCCCGACCTTATTTCTACCCTAGAGACTTGCATATAAGAATACTAACCTACACAATACCATGATCACACGACAATTTTTATCTTTTCTCAATAATTATCGATGAGTAATTACTACTTCATTTTGCATGAGTATGGTAAACTTGCATTTTTCGTTTTAAGTAACAACTGTCACGTTTGTTTTCACTTTGCATATAACATGAATATTAGCTTTCGGTTTCATTTTATATGTTTAATGTTTATCGTGTTTTAGTTAGTTATTAGTAAACATGAATTTTGTTTTTTGTTTAAATTTAACACACACATATATATATATATATATATATATATATATATATATATATATATATATATATATATATATATATATATATATATATATATATATATATATATATATATATTGTTAATTCCTATTTGTGCGCCACACCAACGTGATGTATGCGCAATCTCATATTGCAATGTGCATTCCCTTCGAGACCTAATCACAACATAACGCTTTTCTAAACCAAGGTTGTGGGTATAGTTGTGGATGATACGGTAACATACCGTCATAGTGATAAACGTGAGGAGAAAGATGTCGAAAAATAGAAAAATTGGATTTAGGTACAAATGAATTTTAAAAATTTAACGGCTCACAACATTGAAAAAATTTAACGGCTCAGCTCACAGCATTGTAAGATAAAAAAAAAAAAAAAAAAAAAAAAAAAAAAAAGGTAGAGAGTTCAACTTTTTTAAGCTTATGCTGCCAAACCGTAAGGTCAATGGTCCCATGTTCCAACATTATAAACCTTGGGCCTAAGTTATCCACATTCTTGGGCCTAAGAATACTTAATATATAAAAATATCATAATATTAAATTTTATAGAATTTAATGGATTCTTATATCATTTTTATAAAATTTATATAACTTTATTTTTTTTTTTCTTATACTGTATTGAATTCAATATAATATTATAAAATATAATTTATAATAAATATTTAAGAATTAAAAGCTTTTATTTTTTCAATTGATAAGAGTTTAGTGATCAATCAACTCAAAAGTTATTGAATGCGAAGATGAAATCTTACAATGATAAAAATTTCTCTATTGAATAACTCATCTTATTCAACTCCTATTTTTAATTTACCATTATAAATACTCTAATTACGATTGATTAAAAAGTGTCATGATTAACCGGTTAAAGGCTTTGACAACCTCTAACCCGATTTATAAAGTTGTTTTTAGTATTATCCAACAAATCGGCTTCGTCATTGTTATGGATAAGTGTCACTGTGTTTCGTTGACACGTGGGAAACTGATGCACTCTCCTGCCAACACGTACTCATTAACTTTCATTTTTTTTGCATTTAAAATTAATGTACCGTACAACCCTTAAAGCAGGAAACTGAAAAAATGCAGACAACAATGATGGGCGTCAAGAACGACAACATGCACACCGCCGTCGAGCCACAGCGTTTAAGGGACAAAAAGGTAAAGGAGCTCGTTTCCGAAAAGCGGAGGCTGGTGGAGGTTCCTTACACGGCCCCCCTAGGCCACACAATGAACGCGCTGGTGGCTAACCAGGTGGTGGCGATGCCGGTGGCTGCACCACCTGGACATTGGATTGGTGCCGGTGGATCCATGATATTAGAGTCTGATAAGCATACAGGTTCTGTCAGGAAACATTATATAGGAATGATAACGATGTTAGATATACTAGCCCATATCGCCGGCGACAACCCTGACGACAGTGACGACCATTCGAATATGGAACAAAGGATGGCGGTTCCGGTGTCGTCAGTTATCGGTCATTGCCTCGAAAGTCTCAGCCTTTGGACACTCAATCCTAGCACCAGGTACGTTGGTTCTTTTTTCTTCGTTTCTTTGTCAATTTTTTTTATGTATAGAAATTGCAAGTTAGCAATGGATTTTCCGACGACTTTCATTCAAATGAGTTGAGCTTGCAGCATTATGGATTGTATGGAGGTGTTTAGCAAAGGAATCCATCGTGCTTTAGTGCCACTCGATAGTTCCATGGAAAACGTATCTGGAGTTGAGCTTGTGGAGTCGGCGTCGTCGTACAGGATGCTCACACAAATGGACCTTATGAGGTTCTTAAAGGGACATGAGTCCGATCTCAAACACGTACTCGATCGAACTCTAAACGATCTGGGAGCATTGGTGGAACCCATCTTCGGCGTCACTGATCATACCAAAGTCATCGACGCCATCAAATCCATGAGAGCTGGTTCTCTCAACGCTGTCCCCATCGTCGAATCTTCCAATCCGGCCACCGAAGATCACTCACAACTCGTTAACGTAAGATTGTAAGACCACCACTTCATTTCAAATTATAAGACACATCAACATAACGAAATAGTTTCTTTCAGGGAAAAGGAAGGAAGTTGATCGGTACGTTCTCGGCGACTGATCTGAGAGGGTGTCCGGTTTCTCATCTACAGTCTTGGTTGACGGCGAGTGTTATGGAGTACACCAGGAGCTTGTTGTCTGTGTCTGCTAACATGGCGGGGTCGTCTCCGAGGGAGCTTGTGACTTGTTATGCTGAATCGGCGCTGGCGGAGGTGGTTGATAAGGTGGTGGTGAACCATGTTCATCGTGTTTGGGTCGTGGACAGTGACGGGCGGCTCGAGGGTCTGGTTTCGCTCACGGATATTATCAGAGTGATTAGAACTTCATTATTAGAGTAGATAAAGCTGTTGATGTAAATGATGGAGTATAAATGTGTTATTGTTTTTGTATTTCTAGGCAAGTTTCGATGTGTTTAATATGTGATATCTGTTTCTTTTGGTTTAGTTATTATTATATAATGGATAGTTTGATTGATAAACAATAACTTTAAACCTATGAAACGTTTTATAAATGGGGATATTTAAGATATCTAATCTAAATCCTAAAGGGCTTGAGTCTAAATGGTAAGCACTAACATTCTCTAGCGGTTTGATCGGGAAGGAGCGATTAGAGTGAAAAAACAAAAACATAAAACATAACATAAATTAAGAGTTTGATTAGAGTGAAAAAACAAAAACATAACATAAATTAAGAGTTTGAAACAAAAACATAAAACATAACATAAATTAAGAGTTTGATTAGAGTGAAAAAACAAAAACATAACATAAATTAAGAGTTTATCGGGAAGGAGCGATTAGACTGAAAAAACAAAAACATAAAACATAACATAAATTAAGACAACGACAGTAGCGATGAGAGAGCTGTAAGAGTTTGATCGGGAAGGAGCGATTAGACTGAAAAAACAAAAACATAAAACATAACATAAATTAAGACAACGACAGTAGCGATGAGAGAGCTCTAACGATGATGGCTAATAATTACTACTAGTTAGAGAATGAGAAAGAAGCAATGAGAGAGCGCTGAAAACGGCTAACAATCACTACTAGCTAGAGAATGAGAAAGAAGGCAACGGCCAACAGCGGGTCCTTATACATTTTTATAAGAAGAGAAACCTACTATAAAAAATTAAACCTTTTATACATTTTTATAAGAAGAGAAACCTACTATAAAAAATTAAACCTTTTATACATTTTTATAAGAAGAGAAACCTACTATAAAAGATTAAACCTTTTATACATTTTTATAAGAAGAGAAACCTACTATAAAAGATTAAACCTTTTATTATATAATAGATTTTTTGATTGATAAACGCTTAAACACCTTTTATAAATAGGGATACTTAATAGATCTAATCTAAATCTTAAAGGGCTTAGGTCTAAAACATAAGCACTAATATCCCCCGACAGTTTGATCGGGAGGGGACGATTAAACTAGAGAAATAAAACCATAAAACATAACATAAATGAAAAGAACGGTAGTAGCGGTGGCAGATCTCTAACGATGACGGCTAACAACCAGTACTCGTTGAAGAAGGAGAAAGAAGAAGCGGTGACCAACAGCGAATCCTTTGTATAAGAAGAGAGGAGCGGTGGCAACGACTACGATCATCGAGTTGGCGATAGAGGAGTCCAAAGAAAAGCAGCAAGAAAGAAGAAGGGCTTTAGCTGCGGCGGACGGAGCGTATTCCAACTAACTCGGAAAATAGATTTGAAGAAGAGACTAGTTGAGGAGAAGGCAAAAAGGTTAGAGGCAGGAGACATCCAACGAGGAGACATAAGCAAGAAGGCAGTAAAAGAAGTTGAGGTAAGAGCTCTGGTTAGGTGCCAACAACTGTTTTTTTAATTAGGCGGAGAAGAGAAGAAATGAAAAAAATAAGGAACATAATGAAGGCACCTCCGACGACTATTAGAGAAGGTCGCTAGAGGTAGAGGGTGGCTACGAGTTGTGGTTAGAAGTAACGTTTTAACCTAAAGCTCTGATACCATGTTATAATAAATATTTTCCCATGAATTGGCAACTTAGCATTGTGCCTCTCACGTATATAAATACCATAATAATACAAAAGGATTACAAATAAGAGTAATGGGCTAAATACAATATCAAGCTACCGAACCAAATACACACTAAAAATAAAATATATACGTACAAATATATATCTAACAGCCCCCCGCAGTCCAAACGAGAGGTCGAGAACGAACATTCAGACTGGATCGAAAGTCAAGAAACAGAGTAGACGGTAGCCCCTTGGTAAACATGTCAGCATATTGGGATGAAGAGGGAATATGAAGAACACAAACCTTACCCAAGGCCACTTTATCACACACAAAATGGATGTCGATCTCAATGTGTTTGGTGCGTTGGTGTTGAATAGGATTGGTGGACAGGTAAACGACATTGACATTGTCACAGTAAACAAGAGTAGCTGTCAGAGGAAGGTAACAGAGCTCCCATAGTAAGTTACGAAGCCAACTGGTCTCGGCAACAACATTTGCAACATCGTGATACTCTGCTTCAACACTAGATTTGGAAATGATACTCTGTCGTTTGGAAGACTGGGAGAGAAGATTATGTCCAATGAAGCACAATAGCCTGATGTGGATCATCAAGAGGTAGGGCGGCCTGCCCAGTCATCATCAGAGTAAGCAACTAGAGCACAAGCAGGAGAAGCATAGAGATATAAGCCATGATCAAGTAAGGTTCTCGAGGATCATGCATATATAGAAACACCTGTTGGAATGCATAAGATATATCTGGCCGAGTGAAATTCAAGTATTGAAGTGCACCAACAAGAAGACGATATAAGGTTGGATCAGCAATAGGAGGGCTGAAGCCATCGAATTTTGCATTCTTTTCGGCTGGAGTAAAAGCAAGTTTGAAATTTAGACATTTTAGCATGGTCTATAATCTTAGTGGCATATTTCTGTTGAGAGAGAAACATGCCATCACAGTTTCGAACGATAGATATACTGAGAAAATAATTAAGAGCACCCAAATCAGTCATGGAGAATTTGGCATGTAAGGTGGTGATAATCTTCTGTAAGAGACATGTGGATGAAGCAGCCAACACAATGTCATCAATATAATGTAAAAAGATAGGATATGTGACCCCCTTTGTTGTAGATGAATAAAGAAGTATTAGATTTGTTTTTGGTGAAGACGAACTAAATGATATACTAAGCAAGTCTGTAGTACCATGCACGTGGAGCCTGCTTAAGGCCATAAAGAGATCGCTGTAATAGACATACATGATATGGAGTGGAGGGGTCACGGAAACCCGGTGGCTGTTGAATATAAATTGTTTCCTGGAAATGGCCATGAAGAAAAGCGTTCTTGATGTCCAAATGATGGATTGGCCAGCTATGAGGGACAATAATACTAAGAATAGTTTGAATAGTAGCAAGTTTAACAACTGGACTAAAAGTTTCATACAATCAATGTCGGGATGTTGGCTTCGTCCATTAGCAACCATACCAATCATAATAGGTTGCCTTTATGGATGCAATTTATAAATAGAAAATGATCAAATAGACTTTCGAATAAGAGATTCTACCCTAAGACCACAACCAGACGAGGAATAGGAAATAAGTCCAAATTAATCATTCTAAGGCTATAAGCTCCTAACTGTATACAATTTTAAAAGAATATACATAGCAAGATCTATACAATTATCATAGCTCAAATATCAATATAACATGGCTAACATATTGGGGAACTACTTACTTGGGTTGGCCGATCACGCGCGTTGCACTCTCCTCTCTTCCATTCTTTAAAAGTTTTAACTTTTATTTTTGAAAACAACTTTGCCATTTCCTTAGTTTGAGTCCTGACATACCCGAGGGTGTGCCTGAATCCCTCAAACCATGGCTTTGATACCAACTTGTAACAACCTAATTTTCAAAAGAAAACTTTCATTTTTGATTAACCAAAATACTTTCCACAAACCATGAAATCCCAAATACAATTGTTTTCAAATTTCATATCAAATACAACTTTATTTCAAATCATCAGAGTGTCCCATAAAACGCCTGATAGAGAGTGCACGCCACACCATCAAGCCTTACCCTTGCCCTTGGGCTTAGATGTATGTGAAACAAATGCACACACTGTAATCTAATGCTTAGTGAGTTCCCCAGAGTGTACCCCGCACACAATCCACATAAAACATATCATATTGGCTATAAAAGCTACATATATCACATAAGTGATGCATACAAACATATAAGGATGTTGGGGCTCCTCCCAAGGTCTTATACCTACTTGCCATGGGATCCCCCGTATGGTCTTTACCTAGGAATTCTATGGTCTCCCCCACATGGTCTTATTTCCAACTGTCACGGGCTCCCCCCCAGGGTCTTCCATGCAAACAACATAATAGTCAACTAGCGTATCATATATCACAAAAATATCTATCATACTACATAACTCATACATAAGCATATAAAGTTGTCGTGGACTCCATCCAGGGTGATACTCCTATGTTTCATTGGCTCCCCTACATGGTCTTTACCTAGGAATGCCATGAGCTCCCCCACATGGTCTTATACCCAACTGCCACAGGCTTCCACCGGGTCTTCACATATCCAATAAATAAGTACTAGCACATTCTTGTATACATGCATACCAGACATATCAGTAGTGAATCCACAACAAACACTACAACTAACTAAATGGGCTGGCCTTAGTGCCTTCTACCCATTGGTATGGTGAGGAGACTCACCTTTGTTTGTTGAATCCGAAAGCTGCTCTCCTAACAGTCTGTAACCACCCGTGCTGAACAATAATAACATTACCCAAGGTTAGGACTGAACACAATCCAACTAAAGGACCCCAAACCCCAAGTCCTTTCACAATGGCCCAAAAAGTCTTCCTTTGCTAATGGGCCCAAAGTCCATGTCCAAAATCATTAATGGGCCTCGTGGCCCAATAAAGCCCAACCATAGTATCCATGGTCCAACATAGACAAGTTGGCCCACTAACTCCAAAATGTGACCAGGCCTAGTGACTAATTAAGGCTCAAAATTTTGCAAGCCCAAAACAAGTCCAACCCCATCTGAGGTGCGTACGCATTGCGTACCACCCTGGTACGTACAACGTATTGAGTCCCTAAGCTGTACGTGCGGCATACTCTAACTTACGCCCATCATACAAATAGATTAAGCACTTTCTTCAATTAAGTGTTCAATACTCGATATTCTAACGTCCAATACCAGATCTGAGCTCATTAAGACGTCCTAGTGCATGCTATATGGGACTTAAAACTTCATTCTTCACATTAGGACTTCATATAAAGATTCAAACTCATGCATGGAGTCTAGAAACTCTTCAAGCTAGCACCTTTATGCATCTAGCATGCTCACAAAGTTCAGATCTAACCATTTTAGCCTTTAGAGTTGCTCAACTCTCAAGAGAAAGTCCAAAACCAACTAAATGGGCAAAATAGGAAACCCTAGCAAGATCTAAT